GATGTCGCAGGGCAGTCTAGTCTGTTCTATGCTGTTTGACATCGAATTATAATAACTACCACACGACAGATGTCGTTCAATTTTGGCCAAGAAGACCTATGCATACCAAGCGATTGAATGATGGGCACATTTCGATCTTGAAATTTCGTGTCAGTGCTCCTTTAAGATCATCCCTGCAAGCAGTTGACCACACACCCCCATATTTTCCAGGGCATGAACTAGCTGGTTACCGAGCCTCCTGTCCAGTGTGCTAAAGTTGTTGGTGTCTTTTAATTGTGAATGGACACAATGAAAGGCTTTACAGAGTTGTCTGGCGAGTGGTTGTTTCAGGAAAAATAAATTGAATAGGGCTATTTAATTCTTGGCAGGTGGCTTTTGAAATTTTGGTTTTATCACTCTACATTTGTTTTTTCACCTTGCACTGCCCACTGACATTGGCAATGATGGGCGAGCTTAATGCAATGGCCGCTTTTTTGTGTGTTTAATTTCACTGCTTCTTTCAGTGTTGATTTGTGTGTCTGCCACTGGTGAGTGGCTTCCTTTAACTGGGATGGGCTGCTTTATTCAGGCCTGGTTGCCAAAAATAACTAACCGAGACTGGTGGTATGGTCACGCGCATCTTCAACAACGCCGAAGTGACTACCAACAGCAAACCAAAGTCACTTGTTAGAAAGACATTTGTTGATTTATGCGGCGCACATTGATACACTTGGGCCCAGGGGTGTTAGGTTAGAGGGATGGTTGACATTGTCTGCGAGAACGTCACGTGTTGGCACAATGGGTGTAGCAGCATAGCAGCTCTTAGAAAGAGATTGACAAGTTTTATAGTTGCATGTAATTATAGTGGTCATTGGTGTATTTTTCTCTCTCTCTCTCCAACACTATCTTGGCATGACGATAGTTATAGCGCGAGAACAAAACGGCACAGAGACAAGAAAGACACGAGCGCTCGTGTCTTTCGTGTCCTTCTTGTCTCTGTGTCGTCGTTTTGTTCTCGCACTATAGCTATCGTCATGCCATACCAACTAGCCCAAGCTGCCACACTATCTTGGCCTTTCGAGAATCCAAAAAGTAGGTCAGCAACAGTGTGTAGGAAGACACGAGGCATTTGCTCAGTTTCGGCCTGACAGATGCGCATTTCCTGCAGTTCATTTCTTTGTATGTGCTCCTTTGTTGGTTGCATTGAACGCTAATTACAGTGCCTGCAGGCATATTGGCGTTTCGTTCCCTACGCTTAATTTGTCTCTCATTCTGTGTTGTCCAGAAATGACGTGAATATTTTTAGCTCTGCAGTTTTTAGGCCATGCACTGATACGGGCATGGTATGCCAAAGAGTAGCTTGCACATCCTGTGGCGCGAAGTGAAACTAAGTTTGGATCGCGTTGAGTTATGCCGGCATCAAAAGGCATCGGTTGCTTACTGCCCACACGCTCCACAGCTCATAAAACGTATAACAGCAACCTTAAGCTGCTGCAGAACCCACGAATTCTATGCTCAATCGCAACTGCTGCCTGTTTCCGTCTCCTTCATTAAAATCGTACCGGTATGCGGCCATTTCTTATAGTACTGCATGGTGCCAGTTACGTACACCTCAGGATAGCAATCGTACGGTGTACTCGTTAGGTTACTTACTTAGAAGAGGAAGTCGTGCGAACCCTTGCATGTCTGTAAAATGTCATGCTTTTTAAATATCTACACAATTAGCACTGGTTCTAAAGTTAAAAAAAAAAATGTAATCTGCCTTGAGTCGTGTGATCATCCGGTGCAATTGGCGAGCAACCGGAGGAAGAAGGAACTGGAGGCGGGGAGGCCCTTCTCTTCCTTTTTTTTCCTGAAGGGAGATGAAGGAAGAGAGCCATGCGGTGGCAGTGGGGAATGTGGCAACTTAAAAAACCCCGGAAAATGTAACGTGTAATGCTATTTCAGATATCACTAACAATTTTCTGGCATAACAGCACATTTTTAAATGTAATGATAAGTTACACGCCCCCCCCCCCCCCCCCCTCCCTCTACCCGATCTACTTCCAGCAAGCTGTCCAGTGACACTGACAAAATGGCGAAGGCTGTAGTGCCATAGAAAGTTGTCCCCGAGTATAGGCTCGAGCGCGCCCCCTCAGGGGAGTCTGCGCGAGCAGGTGGTGAGCGGCGCCACTACGGACCTGAGCCAATGAGAAGGTTCCGACTTTCTCGCACGTCTTGCTATGCGTGGCTTAGCCGTAACCAGGGGAAAAGAGATCTTGGAGTGGGGGGGTGGGGGTGGAGCCAACGCCAGGTGTTTGGACCTTAAGCTCCCCCAACAGAGTCAACGTACGCTTCTAGCCCCAGTTTCATGCAGACGGCACCCCTAGTCTGACCCAACCAAGGGACATAGGCATTCGCCTTTTCCTATATTTTCCCTGCAACTTAGTTTTTCTCTCTCACATTTTATCTGTCCTGTCATCGTCTCTCTTCCATTTACTTCCAATTTCCTTACACAGGGGTGAGACTTACTGACCAAATAATTTTATTTTGTCCTGAGGAGGTGATGACCCCCAAGGGCCGTCTGCGGGCCGTGCCCTTGATGGGACCAGGAGGTTAAACTCGACGGCCATGTCATGAGCTCTCTGGACGGCCCGAAGTTGGTCGTCCTCATGGGGACTTGTGGGGAGAGCATCCCAGTCCTTTTCTGTAATTGGAGACCAGACGTCCACGCGCAGGGGCATTGCCTCAGCATATGTTGCAAGCTGCATCGCGAGATGCCACATCGGGGCCAGCGAGACGAGTACTGACAGATTTCATTATAGTTCTGCAGTTGGTTCTATAGCCATTTTTTGCCCTTAGGCTGTAGGCCACCCTCTCTCCTGACGCGGCGAGTAAGGTCTCTCGCCTGGGAGTGGACAAGCTTGTTGGCGTTTAGGACGGAGACGTGGGCGTCAGAGCCCATATGGCCCGAGAACCAAATTAAATTCTTGGTGTCAGTCCATGCGGCCATGGGAATTTAGTGTTGGTCGAGATAGTCCTGGATTATGTCAATTGCTTTCTGTAACCTGCGTTCGACCACACCTTCAACGCTGCCCTCACTCCAGATGGTGATGTCATCTGCGTAGAAGGCATGTACGAGGCTGTCGATTGTGCCGAGTTCACGCGCATTCAGGCATGATTGATTAAAAATGGGGAGAGGACAGCCCCTTTGGGGTGCCTCTTGGGCCTTGTTCATACGTCTTGGAGCCTAACGATCGAAATCGGATGGCTGCTTTCCGGTCTCTCAAAAAGGAATGTATGTTTTTGCTAAAGCGGGTGCCGAGGCCTGCTTCGGTTATGGACCGTAGGATGTGTGCGTGTTCAACTTTGTCAAATGCATTTTCGAGGTCTAGTGCTGGATGGCTTTGGTGTTCCACGACTTAACAAAGAGTACTCGGTGCTTTAGCATTAACATTACGTCTTGTGTTGATATGGAAGGGCGAAAGCCAACTTGATTGAATAGTGGGAGATTATGTTCCTCCGCATATTTGGTTGCTTGTTTGAGTATGGCGTGCTTGGCCACTTTGCCTACACATGAAGTAATAAAGCTCTAATTGGCTGGCAGCTGCGAGCTTTTTAAGCGGGTTGAGTGGCCGGGCGCCGGCTGGGATGCCCTGTTGCCCGCTCTTCGTCGATATCGTCTGGGCGGTTGACGCTGTGTCTGCGATTCATTTACGGTGGGCTTGTATCCATCCGCTACCAGTGGCTTCTTAAGGGGAGATGAACTCCCCCTCCACGAGTGCTTCGAGCGGCATTTCGACGCCGCAGGCGGCGAGCATCCACGGCGCACAGCCGGGGTTCGCGAAGTCGTGCGAGGCCTAACGTAGGTCAAGCTCACGATTCAGAACAAAGTCTTTCAAGTGGGTTGAAAATGGGCCTTTCGGGATAAATTTGGTGTCCACACAATTCAGGTAACGTTTCGGAGATGGTCTGGTGGTAATGAGTTCAGGATGGCTTGGATCGATGAAAAATCCATCGGCGTACAGAGCGATTGCGAATGCTTTTGCACTCGGCGGCACCAGCGTCTTTCCCAATGGTGAGGCAGCTGCACATATTGCGCATTTTTAATACATTTCTATTTCTTTTGCGCCAAGCTGCTCCAAAAGCATAAAAATTGTGAAAATGCTGTAGGCCTGTTTGTTGAGATTTGAATGTCGGAATTTCTGGAGCTCTGCACTACGGCGTTTCTCATAATCTTATGGTGGTTTTGGGACGTTAAACCTCACATATCAATAGTTTTTTCAGGACGTGGGTACTTCTTATGTGATATACCCAGGCAATCCTTAGCACGAGCTCTAAAGAGAGGTCGCTGCTTGGGTGCTTACAATAAACAAAGCACATGTCTCCCGGCTTTACTAGGGCTTTCAAAAGACACTTGGGCGAATTCCATATACCACCATAGGTTTATTATCACGACCTTTAGCCATTCATTCTCATTGCACACATTTCACGTCATTGTCATGGTTTTAATACTTCTACGTTTTTACCTGCTTTAGCGCGAAGAGTTTTAAGGTCTCTATACAGCCTATACAGCACCTACCGTAATCATTGTCCACAGTCCTTGTCTCTTGAAGGGGCACTCTTTGGCCATCAAATTTTGCCATAAAGCACCACACATCATCATCAGGCTCAAACGTGTGGAGCAGTTTGAGACACAACTTCGTTGTCTTTCTTGAGGTGCTGATGGCTCACCACAAGTTTTTATTGTAAACAGTGGCCAAAAACACAGACAAATAAAAGCATGAAGACATTGCTGACTTCCAACAACATGTTTATTCGTGCATACAGAAATTTATTGCAAGAATTTTTATTGTTGAAGAAGTCTTGGTGCTAGAGGTTTGATTCTCCAAGAATCCAGGCATGGTGTTAGAGGAGAAGCAAAAACTTTTTTAATGCCGTATGTACATTGCATGTCCAATTGCATCCCCAAAACTGCGGGCCAGGCTGGTCGGAGATTGGTGTTTACTGCACTGAGTTAGCTATTAAGTTTTTATTGCTAGAAAGTCAGCGGCAGCTGACAAACTCTTGAGGTACATGCACTCTGGTGGAAAGCTTGCTGCGGCGGCATCCCGCCCATCGGCATCTCTCCACGGCAAGCAGCTGCATGCTGTCCACATTGGTGGCGCTGCAAGAGTAGCGAGACCAGAGTGGACATGTCGAGACTTGCGCGCTTACCAGCTCATTGCCATTCCCAACAGGCAGAGAGAGGTGGCACGGGTGAGAAGGTGACACCCAAGTGAGGAGTAAGACGGACAAAGCAGGTTCTCATTGGTGGTTTGCTTGCGTGGCAGTCGACGTCAGTGGGAGAGAGAGAGAGAAAAGTGGCATCGAGTGAGTGGTGAGCGGTGCACAGGATATTGCCGCACCATGAGTGTGTTCATACTTTTCGAATGTGTAGGAAGCATACTGGGCAAACTGGACACTAGTGGTGGTGTTGGTGGACTGGTGGAAACCTGGCTCTCAATTGTGCAAAAATGTGGCTGTTCGTCTCGCCTAGAAAACACGTGCGTTGAAAGGGTTCAGCAGTCACTTTGCCAGGGAAATTTTCAAGCCTTTTTTTTTCGGGGCGTTACAAGGGAAACTTCTGCTGTAAATACCTCATCAATAGCATACAGCAATAAAGAACTTAAATCTTTAATCAATTCATAGTTGCCCTTGTCGTGCATTTTTTTTAAGTGCATCTAATTGTGTACCTTTATGCTCTTTACGCATGCACCCCCTAAACTAAAATTTATTACGACTTCCCTTCCATCCTGCACTCGTGATATATTACGAATATAGTATGCACTTGAACAAGCATCAAGAGACATGTTATTCTGCACTGGTTCCGTGCTTAGTACTTTTTACAATGAATTACCTCTACAACTAGTTATTTCACCATACCTTTTTGAGGGGAGTTTGCCTTTTTTTATGATTTCAGTTTCTGAACCCTTCAGAGTATGCATTGGCTGATAACTTAGTCAAGCCGCTTTTACTTTTTAGGATAAAAGTATGGTATATAGACAAATACTGGTTGTTCCAAATTAATGTTGGTCAGAATATACATTTATTTGTGCAGTTCTAGGAAGGTCGTGTGATTTGGATTTCACCATACAATGAAACATGCCTGAAAGGCTGCAATAAGTGCCACTTTGTCCCTTTTGTTTTCATTTAGGTCATGTATGTTGGCCGGGTGCAACAAGACACTAAAGCAGAACTGGTGACTCTTGCTGCATTTCCGGTGGCTCTTCCTGTTCTCAATTTCACAGTGGTTGAAGCAGTACGTTGCAAGTTCAAGCAGACCTCTGACACGGAGCTTGTCAATCGCCTTGGTGCAGGCAAGTTTCATTTTCATACACTGTGCCACATTGGGGGAGAATTCAATGCGATTATTATGGGGTCACACAGATACAGAAAAAAAGAAATGCATATTAGGTAAAATTCGTGTCATAAAACATCACTGAAAACTGTGCCAAATTAAATAGCTTATTGTATGCCTAGAGTGCAGCAAAAGAAAGTGGGTGCACTTTTCCTATTGTTGTTATTCAGTGCTTCAACAATGTCATAAGCTGCTCTAAAAACTGTCAATGCTTTTGGTGTCTGTGATCATCCTGTTACGAGTAATTAAACATCGCATGCACAAGTGTTTAATTAAGAAGCAAAATGTGCCTTGACCTGTGATTGTTCAATTCTCCTTCCCAGTCCTGCAACACTTTTCCTGATACAACCAGTGTACCGCACTGAAAGCAAACTTGCAGCATGGCAGGCACTCTTGCGTTTGCATTCCTCACACTGGCATCAAAGTGCAGTTCAGAGGTTCTGCCTGTGAAGGCAGCATCTTTTAATATCTGCAAGGTGTAGTGTGTGTTTGTATGAAAGGTTGCTGGGTTGAACAGTCATTTTCCTGCATATTATGGTCTCATGGGTCTTGGTTAGGACCACAGGAAACTTGATTGTAAGCTTGCTTTGTTTGAAGTTGAACGTGTTTATTACACGTGAAATAAAGTGATAGAAAACAGAAGCAGGCACACAGGCAAATGCCACAATCGAAATTAACCTAGCTGTTGGTCTGATTATTTGGCTGATTGTTCTCGCTAGAGTTATCGTCTTCAGTTGTACTACTGTGGCTTGTGGCTGTCACAGCTCCTGTAGTCACACAGCACTTCGTTGTCTTGCGTAATCCATACATCACTAGGGTTGCAAAAGTGTAGTATTACATTCTGTTACTATAAGCATGTCATTCGCAAGCATGTGTTTGCTGCAATCATTGGGATGATTCAACGTAACAGCTGCTACTTGACACGGCAACAGTTGCCTCATGACGGCTGTGTTATACCCGTCAGTAAACTGAGAAGGCGTGCTGCCATGGTGGACTGACTACAGCCTGTCTACGTGAGAGTGAAATATAGATTTTAGAGATGTGATGAGTTATGTTGGGGGCAGCTCCTATTTGGCTTGTATTTTCAAATGAGTGAGTGAGATTGACTTTATTTAAACATATCCTGAGGAGGCTGAGAAGGGGCCATTCCGACCCTTAATTCAACCCAGAGGCTCCGCCCAGGATAGCGCAAGCAGTCGAAGGCTTGTAGCGATGTTCCGGGCCCTCTGGACCGCCTATAATTGCTGCTTGTATTCGTTGCTCTTGAGGGCTTCCTGCCAAGCCTTCTGGGTATTTAGTTGTGCTGCGCTTTGTGACGGATGTCTACTGGCTGTGCGTTGTAGTTATGGTTCTTTTCACATTGTTCTTGCTCATGTCAATAGATTGTAACTTTTTCGTTACCACGAAAAAATAATTTTTCATATATATTGAGAAGGAAGTGCTTGCAAGTTTGAAAAGTATCCCAGCATGCAGTGCAGCCTACCAAATTAGGCATAAAGAAATGCACTTTCGAAAAATTTAAGTTCTATAGCAACAAAAGTATTGTGGAACGTATAACAGCGATCATGCAGGTCCTTGCAACCCTTGAATACATTTGAATTTGAAAAGTTTATTTTTTAGGCCTTGGAAGAGCTGGAATTTTCACAAGTCATTGAAAGTCTTTCAATTTCGTTTCTTTTTTACTTCTAATAAACATTGTTGCACATTTCTCTGTAATGTGCCCATCATGATACAATCAATCCTTACTGCGAGAAACCGAAACCATGAATTCTTAATTATAACATTATTAACATCCCAAAACCAAGAGATAATTTGAGAGACATCGTAGTGGAAGGCTCGGAAAAGTTTGACCATCTGATATGCTCCAATATGCACTGATATCACACACTACACGGGCCTCTACCATTTCACCTTTATCCAAACACGACTGACGCAGCCTGCATTGAATGTGCAATCATACAGTCTGCAGCCGAGCAACGTAACAAATCAGCAACTTCAGCAGACTCGTGATTTGATGGGCATCAAGTCAGGCTCCGGCTCCGGAAGACTGCAAACACCAAGCAGCAGGAGATGGTGCATTCAATCTCTGTGGTGAAGCCAACTTTACAGATAAAACAACACAGCTTCTGTTCAGACTAGTTTGCTTTAGGGTTGTCATCATTGCTTTTTCGAACAGCGAAGCAGCTGCAAATGATGCAGTGACAGAAGTGCTGCTCCGATTGCATTAAACTGCTCCAAAGAAGAAATGTTGCGCCATGCTGCTCCAGAGTGCAATATTTGCTAGTAACTGCTTGCGTTTTGTTCGCCTCCTGCGCGTGTGACGAGTGGCTTCATTGCTCTTGTGTCGAACATAATGGCGAAACTATGCGCAATTCTGCTCTCGGGAGCATATACATTAACTAGTGCAGCGATGCCTCCAGGACCATCCTGGAGGCATTGCTGCCTGGAGGCATTGAAAATGCCTCCAGGCATTTTCTTTAAGGTGATAGGCAACCCCCCCCCCCCCCCCCCCCAAAAAAAAAAAACTGAACTGGAGGAGCCAGGATTAAAATAACTGCTTTTTTGGAACAAGCGTGTTTCATTTTTTTTTTTTTTTTGCCTAGTCGTTGAGAGTGAGAATACTGATTATTTATTTTTTGGGAGGCCATTTTGTCAAAAATTTAATGAAAAGGGGTAGTTACTTCAGCCGCGATAAGTGACTAATGTGTGCCTGAGTTCAGTAAAGCTTTGGCATTTCTGTAACCAAAAGTTGGAGCTATGCAGTGAACTAGGATAAATAATATACAGTAAATATGAAGAAAGTTATGTTAAAAAACTCCAAAAGACTGAGAAAAAGTGCCAATTTTGACTGAACTCACCAGAACTCATCGGAGCATCAGCGAGCTTTTCCTTACCCCCTGAGACCATGCACTGCCTTCTTCAGTTTTCTGAGGTGGCAGCCAACAAGCTTTTGGACATGCCCAATGCATTCCAGTTTCTGGACACTGTCCTTTCCATACACGTTTTTCACAGCGGCATAGCTCTTGGAATCACCATCACTGTAGAATTTCATTTACTTCAAGCCTCTTTTTAGCAGCGACCTCTCGAATATTCGGTACAGACTAACCGTCTCCATACTGCTAGGACTTCCTTCATGGTTTGCTTGACAGGAAGTGTAGTTTGCCTTCCATTCCTGATAAGAAGCAATTTCTGGCCTCGATTTCCTTTTAGTTTTACAAGACTTACACGAGCTAGAAAGGACCTCAACAATAATGACTTTTCCCGTGTCAACAGAATTTACAGACACACATCCATTCAAAGATGAATGACCACACTTCTGCCATGTGTCATCACCTAAAACTCCGCACTCGGCACTGCCCACAACACAACGAAGTTCCCCAGCAGCATCAGCCATAGATTTCGACGACACTTCTCCTGCGGCTGCAGAAAGCAGTGGTGATAATTTGTCGTAGGAGGAGTGACATGGAGAAGCGGGCATGTTCATGACTTTGGCAAACATTTCTACACCTGGGTGCCCTTTTCCTAACTGGTGCACTGTGTAAACGAGCCCGCAGTCAGTACACACGACCACACAGGTTGAGCATTTTCTTTGGTGAGAGAGTTCCTCGAGCTTCAGCGTTGGGTTCATGCATCCAGGACGCGTATTTGGAATTGCTGGCCCTGCATCGCACGAAAGAGGGAAAAGAAAGAGTGCGAGGAGGACGCCAGTGCCAGCCTCAGGATTGCTCGCGTTCTATTGGTTCACCTCTGGAAGTGACGTGCTGGTGACGTGCATGCTGGGGACGCAGCCACACAGACTAAGCTTGCACACCTCCACCTAATTTTCAGCCATGCTCCCCGCTCTGCTATTGTACCTCTCCGGCTAAGCCGCGCAGCTCCCACCATAATCAGTGGTAACGAGGGACAGGGTCGGGGATACACAATAGGGTAGCGAGGAAGCTCAACTGGGGATCGCTTAAGTGTCCTGTCGACACTGCAGCGCTGGCCATTTGTCATTTACGAAGAGTGCTTGTTGCTAGGCGATTTGTAAAATTTCACAAGCAAACTTCACTAGACTACTGTAAAGGTCTAAAAGGATACTGGAAGTCACGTTCAAAGATGAAAAGATGCGAGAATGTAGCAGATAGTGCTAACATCCCGCCACACCTGATTTCATACTACTGCTTAAACTCCAACTTAACACTGGTAGAGAATGAGTCCATGACTCCACATAAGTTACTACACTCGACATACTACCCACAACTACCTAGCAAAGACGAGATGACCCTGGAAATAAGTTGTCATTTTGGTTATACATTATCAAGACTTTTGTGTTTTTTACATGATGCAATTGCTGCATTATCATGAAAAGTATTACCTCGTTCTTAAGTCCCTGAAATAATGCTAAAAAAAGCACTGTTGGCACATAAATAAACAAGCAGATATGCACTAGCATGTTCTCAATCCCGACTACATATCACAGCAGACATTGCCTTTTACCAAGCTTGACAGCATTTGGAAATGCTTTTTAAAGCCACTAATCTGTTTGCTTTGCTGCAGTTGCGAATTCGCACGAGGAACAAGTAAACACAAAGTGCTTCATATGACAAATTTCAACTAGTGAAAAGCGACCTCGACCCACAACACAGTTTAGGTACACAGCTATTCACATTCTCCAATAAATCAGTCTGTCACGTGGCTTTGCGAGCATTCGCTCCTACATACCCAAACTGTGAACCACGCGTGCAGTAGTATAGACCTTTTCACGAACGGCTGCTCCTTGGGTGCTGCCCAAGTCCTCTCCGGCCTGCACTATAAATAGGCGTGACTCCCCCCCCCCCCCCTCAATTGCACTGCCAAGGCAGTGATGTCAGCCATTGTACTCTCATGCGCAGCCCAGCATGGCCGCATTTTTTCTCCCTTGTGAGTAGTTTTATATATAAGCGAGCTTGTACACATGGGACAGCATACATGAAGTTC